ACTCTTCTTTCTCCTAACATACACCCTCATCATCCTATCAGCAACTGCACAAAATCTAACCAGCAACAGCAGAATAAAATTCTGGACAGTAGCAATATTTTAATCAAATGCATTATCTAGTAATACCTATGAATGGTTCAGTAAAATAGAGTAACCAATATGACCATACAGACCATCAGACAATTCTTCCCATGAATCCTCACTATTCATACTACTTTAATTGTCCATTTACAAGATATTAAAAAACAGACAAGACAAACCAATGAGCACATACAATTAGTACAACCTCTTATACAATTCATGCATTCTCGTAATTAGAAAATTAGCTAAGTTAAATACATTTACATTGTTCAAGTTATAATTTATATCTATACACATTTGAATCTATCAACCATAGAACCAATAACACAATCTTTTTGTTCATTATAATTCTTTCAAGATTTTAATATAATCACAACCACATTATATCAAAAACGTACCCAAACAATAGTTTAACCAAGAATCACAAGATGATAAGGTTAATAAAATTTATCCACACAATTATACACAACGTATCATGTAGTCTTTCACATTATTCACACACAAACTCATTAAACCGAATGTTCATCAGGGTATAACAATTCATTCACTCATTCAACCAAGTCATTTCAATTCAACCAAATTGATAAGAATACCATTTCACAATTTCTTTAACAATCACAAATGGCATTTCAAAGAGATTTACCTCCCCATAATCATTGTTCTACAGCAGATTAAATAAATAATCCAAACCATAAAATTACCCATCATTTTATTAACACCTAAGACAACCTACTAATACCCAACTCTTTTCATATTTCAATGAAACCTGAAACAACCACAACCTTCATCCAAGGTACACAAATTTCCAGATTATAACAAGACCATTCAACTTCAATATGCATTAATTCAAAAAGAAATCATACAACCCAATTTAACCCTTTAAACATCCCCAAACATACACCTATTATTCCAGCTCATAATTATATCCAATATGAATATCAAATTCTTAATTTACAATTAGAAATTAAAACACATGATATATCCATTTCCACCCACCAACTATCATATTCACTTTTCTACTTAACAGAGATAATACTCATTTAAGATTTTCATTTAGCAAAAAAAATTACAAATTAATAGAAATTATACATTATCACATTTCGAACAACCAATTCAAACCAAGATAGCTCCTGATACCAATAACACATATATCTATAATTTTTGGAACAACCAACATATCGAAACGGTTCCAAAGAATAAAACCACGAACACCAATTGTTTTCAAACGTTTACATGCAGCTTATTAAAACAAGAAAGACAAGATCCCCATACCTTTTCCGAATTCTTACCACCTCCAAAATCCTACTTTTGCTTACCATCTTTGTTTCCCAATTTAAAACCACAACAAATATGGTGCCAAAAAATTTAAAACCGCAACAAATAAAAATAACACCAGATATGCTCGCAGATAGGTTGAATATAGATACACAAGTCACACAACAAGCAGACATCTCATAACCACTAAGTCAAGCTAATTTCATTAACATAATAGTAATTTAGTATCTATTTAACTCATCTTATTTCGTCTATTTTTATTTTAAATCCATCAATTGTTATTTTATTTTATTTATTTTAAAATCTTCGGATCTTACAATATGTAGTAATGAGATACTCCTAGTTATAAATAAAAACACTAAAAAAGAATTGGAGATTATGTGGAAAGTTGACCTTAGGATATATGTTTAATAGAATATAGTCTATAAACGATGAGTGTTTCTCTCTTCTCTCTTTTCTCTCTACTTACAAATTGTAAGCTAATATTACAATGACGTTTGAGAGTGTTTCTTAACTTTGTTTTTTCTCTTCTCAGATATTCTTTTTGAGCTTGAGATTCTCTGTGCTTTTTTTAAACGTTTTTTCTTCTCTTCATAGGATGATATTTTCGTTGTAAGCTATTCTCTTGATTCTTACTTCGAATCATCTTCTATTTAAATGGTTCTTCAAAAGATATTTGCTAGGCTGAACTCTTGTCTTAAATCTTGTGTCTTCATCTGTCTTGTCGTGTGAAGCATCCGTTGATTAAAGTCAACTTTTCAGAGCGGGCTTGCTTTTCCAGTACTTTGATAAAAGTAGGTTGTACTATTTTTCTGACACGACTTCTGATAATGAGAACATTCCGTGAATGTCTTATTTGTCTCTAACGTCCACTTTTGATATATTTCAAATAGAGCATGTGGATGCATGTAGTAAGTTATTTGCATAGAATAGAGTAGATGTGTATACAGTAGATATGTCTTTTCTCTTATCAAACTTTTGTTGTTTTTGAACATTGAACATTTAATGACATTTAATGCTTGTTCAAAACAACAAAGTATTTTTTACATTTTCTACCGCTAAGGTAGTGTTTATCATTTAAGTTTTTCTTTAAGATACCAAGCGTTGAATAAGAACTTCATCGTTGGATGAAGTGAAGTATTTAGCTCATGGTATCATCTAGTTTGTTTCTAAACGTTTTTTGAGATTTTGTTTTCTATTGCTAGACCGTTTAACAAGTTTTGGTTTCTGCATGTTTTTTAATTTTTACTTGGGACATTTAAGGCTTTTACCAAAACTTTGTCTCGACACTTCAACATCTTCATCCATTCAGAGTTTAACTGATTATTGTTTTGTACAATATAGCTTACGTGTTTAGCATAACTCTCATAGACGCTTTGACTTAGGAGTCGTTTAGTGTTGCGTCTGGATGTTTTAAATTAGGTTGTTCTACGTTACATATATGCCTAAGTGTTTTCCTAAGACTTTCCTATGTTGTTAAATGATTAGGGATTTTGAACCTAACACTTATGTTTATGCTCTATTCTATTCTAGTTATAAAATATATGTCTAAGTTTAAAACATATGAGAACGTTTAGACATATAAGTCTTGTAAACGATTTTGTCTTAACAACATCCACAAGACGTGCAACACACATTTATGGTTGGATCAAACAATTATTGTTACCTACTAACGCTTAATGGATAAAATTTTGAAGCCGGTGATATAAAGGAACATCGAAACATGTTGACAATATGATGGTTATATGGAACCGACTCAGAGGAGCAACTCCACACAATATCCCGATATCGTCTGAAACTTAACCCTAAAAAATGTGTGTTTGGGATATGGTAGAAAAGTTCCTGAGTTTCTTGTTAACAATTAAGAATAATTTAGATAAATGTGTCATCATCATCAACATGAGGAGTCCTATAAACATGAAAAATGTACCATGTCTAATAAGAAAGATGATTACCCTTTCAAGGTTCTTGTCCAGAAGAAGATGATAAATGTATATTTATATCCTTATTTAACTTTTAATATTAAATTTTTAATTAATTTTTGTATTTTAATAAAATATTTTAATTAAAATATGTTATAATCGAGTTTATTTAGTATAAGATCATGTTAAAATTAGCTTTTTAATTACTCGAACCTGAAACAAAGACATCTACTACAACCATAAAAAACCAAAGGGAGGTTTGGCCCAGTGACTGAAAAACATGATAGGGTGAAAGACAAGGAGAAATCTTATTTATTCGAGTCGGTCATTAGCCGGCACGAACACGTCATCCTCTGTAAGACAGCAATTTCTCCATATGTTATCAAACAGGGAAACTCTCTCTCTCTCTCTCTCTCTCAATAACTAATTATTATGGTTATGTAGTTTTCTTCCTTTTCTTTTGCGCAGAGACCAAGCGGAGTGAACTAAAAGCATCGTTCCTCAAGCAATAGCCGAAGGATGTAAATTTTCTGAAATTTACAATCAGACTATGTCCCTCCAAGAGTTTAAACACCAGGTTCTTGTGAATTGAGTTTTATGATTCAACAGCAGTGAGCAGTTTCTCAATAAGCATGCTCATCGTTAACATGACTAAACAGAATATGGATCGATTTCCAAAATCAATGAAATTGGTAGAAAACTATATATTGAATTAAAATCAATCATAGTTTGAGATTCAAAGCCCCCAAAATACAAATGACATTTGTTCGCATAATACAAATGAATTGACATTTGTTCCCGTGACTAGTACATTAAAAAAAAGAACGAGAGGACTGGAGATAATATACGGAACTATTTCACATATACAGCCCTTCAGGCACCCCTTCTTTCTTCTTAAACATCACTTTATCCTTGGCCTTCTTAAAGTCGGCATGAGTCACCTAAACGAGACAACAGAACAAGTATTAGCAATTATACATCTTAAATTAGGGAGAGAAAACTTCAAATGATTTATAGATATAGATTATAGATATACAATACGAACCAAGAAGAATACAAACAAATAGATTAAAAACAAGAGGTGGGAAAACCTCTGCCTTTTACAGAAAGGTATACTCAAATTTCACTTCATCCCAATTAATCCTTAAACTCTTACTATCATTAACTTAAAAATAATTTAAAAACTGTTGATTCAAAAAAATCTATTCGAGATAAACTGCGAAATCTCAAGTCTATTTGCAAGGCATAAAATTTAGGATCATTGCATACTATTTTCCCTTATAAAATAAAACTAGTTTTGTTTATCATTAGTAACTTAATCCCATGTATTAGGGTTCATTATATAAAAAGAGTAAAAGTCTGCTGACTGGTTAAAACTAAAACAAAGTTCAAGGAATCTAAATTTGCAAAAAGTATAATTTAGGATGGTTACGAGTTCTTTTCTCTTATTTTTCTAACTTATTTCTAATTTCGTTTTCTTTTCGTACTACAGCATTAAATAAATAAAGCTGCAGCAAAAATACACACAATCAACTGTCTACACAGGAACAGCATTATTCTCAATCCTGCACATTGATCGAGATAGAGTTGAGGAATATTCTTTTACATTTCCTCGGAAAGAATTTTAGCATTATAACCCCCGCCCTCCTCTTTTCACAGCTACCCAATCCCTAGGAAAGATTTCTAGAATTGCAACTTTCGGAAAAATCCACCAAAGTAATTGTCAGTTCTACTTGGCTTAACATATTTGAGCCTTATCAAAATGAGCTTGTAAAAACTAGCAACCTCCAAACATTGAAGACTATTTTTATATCACATACAATAGAGCCACGATGAGATTTCTTACCTTCATCCGGCGTTCTCGAAGAGCAAGTAAACCAGCTTCAGTACATATTGCCTTTATATCAGCTCCAGAGAATTCATCTTTAGTCATAACAAATTCTTCCAAGTTGACATCATCAGCTAATGTCATCCTCGATGTGTGTATCTTAATTTAAAAGTATGAAAACTTTAGGTATGGTTGAACATAGCATGCATATTAAGATATCACACAGATTCCAAAGAACAACATTGTGTGAATTTGGTTTAGTTTATTTAGGAAAATAATTGTTTTTTTAAATAGCTTCCTAAGAGACATTTCAGGAAAAAAAATATAGTGACCATTTATCTAAGCTTTAAAAAGGTAATTCTGCAAAATATAGCTTTTTCAGATCATTTTGCAACTACTGAATTTTTTATTAGAACATTGATTGCTTCTCGTAATTTATTTGTACCGAAACATATTACATATTTAGTTCATGCAGAAAAGGAATAATACAGCATTTCTTTAATATTTTACCTTTTCAAAAAAATGACACAATTATTATGACTTTTTAAACACATATTGTAATTAAAAAACAAAAAACAAAGAGCACAGATGGACCAAGGATAAAGCATTACCAAAAACATAGTGTGTGTATTGCCTCACAAAATTAATCATGCCTACCTGAAAAATACGTCTCCTAGTTTTGATATCAGGAAGAGGAAATTCTATCTTCCTGTCAATTCGACCAGGTCGCAGCAAAGCTGGATCAAGACTTTCAATTCTATTGGTTGCCAGAATCACTTTTACATCTCCTCTTGAATCAAAACCATCTAACTGGTTCAACAACTCTAACATGGTCCTTTGGATTTCACGTTCTCCACCTGAGTGAGCATCATACCTGTAAAAACATGTATACTGGTAAGCTAATGAATATACGAAAAGAATCCTAGGAGCTCATGGAGTGATTCAATACATCACTCTTCCACCTCCACCGTATCATGGCTGTTGAAGTTGGGGTTTAAATTACCTTTTTGTACCAACAGCATCAATTTCATCAATGAATACAATAGAAGGAGAAAGATCATCAGCAACTCTGAAAAGTTCCCTCACAAGTTTTGGGCCATCTCCCAAATATTTTTGTATCAATTCACTGCCAACAACACGTAAGAATGTAGCTGATGTTGAGTTTGCCACAGCCTGAATACACAAAAGGCATTGTCTAATTAAAAGAAATAGCATTACAGGCAATCATGCATTAGTAGACGCAGGTCACTAATGCCTATAAGTGTCCAGGTCAAGTTTTGTTTTAAGAGATCAAAGAATATATACACTCTAGGATTATTGAATAAAAGTAACTTGTCAGTTGCTTCTTTCCATACAAATAGTTCCATTCATTCCTAAAAGAGTCTATATATTTCTAATTCAATATTACAGTATTTTCTACCAACCAGAAAGATTAAACAACTTTGACATGGGATTTTGCATACAGCTTTAAAATCTTATAGTAATCAATACACTCAATTGCATGGCAGTGAAAAACACATGGAATGGAAGTATTTAAAAGCTAACACATAAGAGTGAACACGGGATGAAAACACCTTGTAGCATAAGTCTTCAATATCATCAATACAGTAGACTGGTCATAATTAGTGTCAGTTGTGCATGCAGGTATTTCAAATCCAACAGAAATTTTCATTGTGACATCCAATAACCATTTCTTTATGCCATTCAGTAACTCCTGCAAAGCATGACAGTAATCTTGGCCTGGACATGAAGGATTTAGAGGAAGACAAATTGTCAGGCCTAGGTGTAAAACAAAGCCACCCTACGAAAGGTATATTTAGCTGAGCTAGCCATCATTCTAGGGAAGCAAAGGGGAGTGCGGAAGGCAGGTCTGAAGCATTAGATTTTAGTGGCAGTGAAAAGTCTCTAACAGGAGACTTGATCTGGTAGGAGACTTACAACTGTCTGGTTTTCTGAATTCCAATAATACAATGAATATCAGTTATTCTGTGTTTGCATTCTCTTTTTCCTACTGGTGATCATCAAAGCCACAAACAATCGCTAGCAAACAACTAGAGAATTCCTGAAAGTACCATTTAAACAAGGCAGACACAGACTATAATTTTCACGCAGTATAAACAAGAGAATGACACAATCCCTTTATGTCCATATACATAAACAAAGTATCCAAAACTACATAGCATTAACTTATCATGGAGCATTCTCAGCAACTTCAGCTTAAGGAGGCATTTGGTACTCTGAATCTTTTATTCACCACAAAATCAGTTTCCTGGAAATGAATTCCCAGAAATAGGATTCCCAGGAAATTTTATAAAATATATTTTATTATTATTGAACTTTTCTGGGAATAGTATGTTTATTACCAATGACTATGAGAAAGTTCAGTAACTTTTTAGACAACTATCACAGGAAAGTTTTACTCCCATTTATTGACAAATTAAGGTGCCCAATAATCTTTTATGTCTTGCAAATATTTTTATTCTCTTCTACCAAACATGGTAAACTTTTATTTGAATGTCACTTTCCCAAGAGTGTTAAAATATTCCTTAAATCAAAACACCACCTCAATATAAAGGTAGTGAAAAGGAGAAAATAAGAGACAGAAAGGAAAATGCCAAAACTCCATTAGAAAATCCCTACAAGAAGCAAAGGTTAATGCAAACCTTCGCAAGTAAGGTCTTCCCAGTTCCAGGTTCTCCGTATAATATGACTCCCTTAGGAGGTTTAATACCAATGTCTTCATATAGTTCAGGATGCGTCAGGGGTAGCTCAACTGCTTCCTTAATTTCCTGTATCTGGGCATCTAAACCACCAATGTCAGCATAAGATTCCAGAGGAGCCTTCTCAACCTTCATTACAGAGACCATAGGATCAACTTCATCTTGAAGAAGCCCAACAACAGAGAGAACCTGATAAAAAAACACATAAACAAAATCATTAAACCACCACCATCTAACCACCTGAACCACACCAAGATACTTGATCAATTCAAATAACGAAACAATAATCATGTCTAAATCAAAGATCACGTTATGCTTCAAAAGAATATTTAAACCGCAACTTCTCCTACTCTCTTATCAGCTTCGGATGCTCCCAAATCACACAAATTAAACTCATTACTTCAGGAAAGATAGGACTGCTCTTTACTTATACGTTGTGTAAATATCAAACAATTTATGACTCCTATTCACAAACTATCTACTCCAACATCCTACAGTCAACAGCCTCATACACACACATACAAAAACTTGAACAATCTAAGGACACATATTCCATGACTTCCTATTTAAGTCCATTGAAATAACATGGATATAAGATTTAAAAACTAGGTCCGCGAGTGCAATCTTGGCTACAAAATTGAGGCTTTTGGGATCTCAGTGACCGCCATCGTGGCCACATAAGCCCCTTTTGTCTGCAATTCCCAACAATACCATGAAAAAACAACAAAACCTAGCCTGGAAATAAAAGCTTCACAGAAGAAAATTGTTTGTTCACAAAGTTACTATAACCTTCACGCACGCAGACGAACTAGAGAATCTTATCGATCACAAAGTCAAACCCTAGGCAACGAGCTTCCAATAATTTCACACATTTCATTTCCACAATGAAACCGAAAAAGCGTAAAGCGAGTAAAATAAAACCTTATTATGCATCAAAATAGCACAACCAGGCTCCAACTGATCCTTATCGACGAAAGACAAGATTCCGACGTAGTACTCCGGACCAACGGAGGAGGAAACAATGGCGTGGTTCTCGTCGATGAGTTCTTCGAGATTACCGACGCTCATGGGAGAGCCTCGAAGATCGTCGACCTTGGATCTGTCTTCCTCCGCCTTCTCCTCCTGAGGCTTGAGGCGCTCCTGATTCGCCACGAACTCCTCCTCCATCAGAAGGTAGTCTTTGATTCGCTCCAGCTTCAGTAGCCTCAGCTTGCACTTCGTCACCGGAGTCACCGTAGGCAGACGCGCCGCCGCCTCCGGACCCTTTTGCTTCCGCTGTTTTCGCCCGACGCGGGTCGGCGGCGCCGCGGGCTCAAACTTCTTCTCCTTCTTGTCGCCGCCATCCGGCTTCCGGTCGCCCTGCCGGTTCATTCCGCCCGGAGTTCCCTGACCCATGGATTCCAAAATTCAAAAGATGAAGAAAGCGTACACACACCACAACGTGGGTTCACTGGGAGTCACCAATAGAGAAGCTCAAAATTGGGTGATGTGATATACTGTAGTCTTCTGTAAAAAAAAAAATTAGCATGTTAAATTACTTTCATTTAAAATATATATGATTAATTTTTTTTGTGTTAAATATTTCGGATAAGGTCTTGAGATCCCTACTTAAATATGTCTTAAAGATTATGAGCTTTTGTTATGGATATTTGTCAAAAAGGCACTTTGAAACTCAAATATTCTATAATAAAGATGATTAATTATAGTTTAATTTTTCTACATTTATTTTTGTAAGATATATATTTATAAATATTATAATAAGTTTACCATTAAGTCTGACTCATTAATTACTACCAAAAGACTTTATTTATGTTAATTGTCAATCAATGACTATTATTTTCATTAACTCTCCGTGAGTCGCTCAGTCATTGGTTGATCGGGTGATCATACAGGAAATAAGATATTTTATCTATAATAAAAAATAGTTAATCTCAAAATATAATTAAAAATTAAACATAAAGATAAGATAAAAGTAATATATTTAACATTGTCAAATAATATATTTAACATTATCGTCTTAAGCTAGTGTATCCAAATCATATCAATCAAGATTGTTATTAATGTAATTAAAAAAGATTTAGGAAAAATATCTACTTTTGCACTAAAGTAACACCAAATTGTTAATGATTTACGAAGACGAAATACCAACTTAGAAGAATCCATTGAACAACAAGTATGAGAAGTTGTTCTATGTAAATATATTCTTACAAATCGTTGTTGAGGAATGCATTATTTATATGTAGTTCATAAAGAGTGCAAAAAGGGTCGACAAACAACTAACCGTAGTTGTAGAGAATAATATTGGACAATAATGACTACCGCGAAAGTTCAAGTATTTAATAAAGAAGGTTATCATCAGTAATGGATGACAACCAACAGTAGCAGACAACGACAAACTATAGAGACTAGATTGTCATTAGTAATTGTTGTGGGTTAGATTGTCACCAGGAACGGATGATGGCCTGTAGTGGCTTACAATGATAGACTGTAGGGACTAGATTGGATGAGCTTTTAAGCATATAGATGGTGGTTGCTCATATTTGTTTTGTATAGATGATTGGTTTTGATTGTGGTCAATATTCTTGGCATTTTGTTTGATACATTTTGGAACCCTGAGTTAACTTGTGAGACGTTGTGCCCTAGATTTCTTGTTGAATGCTATCACTTTGGTATCACAATTGATTTTGCCTAAATTTCTATATTTGAATCATTTGCTTGTTTGTTACATATGATCAAGGTCATCATCTTATTCTTCTACCTTTTCTACATTTTTGAGCCCAAAAGCCAATACAAAACCTTTGAACAAAAAAGAAAAACTTTCTCATTCCTTGAACCTAGGGATGGCAAAAAAATTTGTGCCCGCAGATATCCGCAGATAAAACCCGCGATGGATAGTTACTATCCACGGATATTTATTATCCGCGTGTAACGGGTAACGGGTAGCGGGTATTTTAATACCCGCTTCTAAACGGGTCGGATGCGGGTATTATACTATTCAACCCGCGGATACCCGTTACCCGATAAAAATAATAAAAATTTAATTAATATTTTTTAAAATTAAATCTTTTTTATTACTCTAAAAAAGGGGAAATTTTAATAATAATGACTTAGGATTCCTTTCAATTACCTTTTTTTTTTAAAGAAGAAAAGAAAAAAAAGGGTTACATTACTTTTGAGTTAACCCTAATTGAGATATCAAACATATATATAGAATCCCATTAGAAAATTCTCTCTTAACGAATGACTCTTTTCTTCTTCCTTCTGGTACAGCTCGCGTAGGGAGTATGCTCCGTTCTCTCTTCCTCTCTCTTGGTTCTGATTGGGTGTTTTTCCGATTTGGGATTTGAAATTAGGGTTTTATTTGTTTTCTGATTTTAGGGGTTTCTTTTGTACGTTTTGATTCGCGTTTTGGGAGTTTGTTTCTTGATTTCTTCCCTATTGATTGTGATGCGATTTTGGGGTTATGATTCGAATGAGTATTTTGAGTTTTTTTGGATTTTAGTTCATTGATGCAGATTGGATTTTTGAAGACCCTGGTGGTTATCGCGGTTTGGAGATTTATGTGATTGCGTTCGTTTTTGGAATTTGGGTTTAGGGTTCTTGTTTGCGTTCTCTTGGAAATTCTTTATCTCTCTGTTTCATACATTAATAAGTATTTGTGGGTTAATCTTGTGACTAAATTGAGACTTACTAGGTGTTTCTTCCTCATATTTTTTTTTCAAAAGTTGTTCAGTATTTGTTTTCTTTAGCATGTTTAAAAATTATATTGTGTCTTTTTAATATGTAGCAAATATATTAAATTGTTCTCTTTAACTTGTAATTTAATTTAAGCCTTATTTAAAAATTCAAAAAATATATTTTTTAAATATTTGTGGGTTGAAAACAGGTATCCAACGGATATCCGCGGGTTGAAAAAAATCTGCGGATTTTTTTATGCGGATATCCAGCGGGTAGCGGGTCGGGTTGCGGGTAGACACTACCCGTGCCCGACCCGACCCGTTGCCATCCCTACTTGAACCTTGAGCTTGATGTGAAAAATCCTTGACCTCCTTACCTTGAGTTGAGTAGAGCTTTCATTTCTAGTATAAGAGAATAATATAATTTTGGGGTGGTTTGGGAAATCATGTTAAAAGGGAGCATTGAGAAAAACAAAAAGAAACAAGAAAGAAAAGAAAAAGAGGAAAGAAGAACAAGATCAAGAAAAAGAATTCAATGAATGAAAGCTGAAAAATGAGTTAGGAATTGGTTCCATTTGTTTCGAAGAAAAAGAGAATTATGTTATCATGTTTTTATTTGCCTGCTCTCTTTACTCAAGGTGTTTTGTATCTAGAAAAACCAATTTTTCTTCTTAGCCCAGCCACAATACAAGCCTCAAAAAGTCCTTGTGATGATAACTTGCTTGTGAATGTGTTTGATATTGGTCGAAATGAAGGGCAAAGTTGATTTGTGTGACATTGTGATGGTAGAGTGAAGACACACATCCTTATACACCATTGAACTTGAGTGAAACACTTTCTTTGGTGAGGAAAGGTTCCATGCATTTAAGGAAAACATTTTGCCATGTTTGTTGATCCCTTATAAAACCTTTGCATCTGTCTTGTAATATTTTTCCTGTGAGCACCATAGTTGAAGCTTGTTTTGCAATAGCCACATTATCTCTTGAATGGTCTTTCCAAGATGAGCAAGCATATTGATTTGCTTTTGTTAATTGAAACTGTTTTCTTGAGTTGCTAGACCATTGTAGTTGGGCTGTTTTGTCTAAGCCAAGTTATCTTTTGCTTGAGGACAAGCAAAGTTCTAAGTTTGGGATAGTTTGATAACGGTAATTCTTACCATTATCTGAGGTTCATTTTAGAGACAAAAACAACTCCCCATTAGCTTATAACTTGCTTAATCCTCTCTTTTATCTTAGTTTTATGAATAATTGTGTTTTAGGCTACTTTGATGTAATTTCATCTATAATCCCTTATTTTGTAGCTAATAATGTGCTTGGAAGAATCTCCAACAATGTATAGAGCTGAACCAACCACAAGAAGTAAGTAGATCTGTAGAAAAAGAGAAAAAGATGCAGTGTAGAAAAATCGGGTTGAGCTTCCCTGGTTCAGGGGGGCTGAGCGCTACCAGCACAAACTGCCAGAAGTTGACCTTTGGTGTGCTCGTGCTGAGCGCCCCTTAGCAGAGGGCGCTGAGCGCCATTTTGCTGTCAGAATTTCTCCCCGGGCACCCTAGGAAGGGGGCTGAGCACCAGTCTTCACGCAACTCTCGTGCCCAGGTGCCCCAAGAGGGGGGCTGAGCGCGACCTTCGCTGATGTGGCAGATCTGTTCTATTTAAACCTAAAACGCAAAGGGGTTTGGGTCTTTGGTGGTTTGGAGGCGCGATTTCACTCAGAGGAGAGCTTGGAGGGCTGCTAGGGTTTGTGGGAACACTCCTTTCTTCCTCTTTAGGTTTTTCTTCTTCTTCCATAGCCATTTTGTAAGCTTAAAGGCTCTCCATGGAAATGGAGAGCCAAACCCATCTTGTTAGGGTTAGTTGTAGCCTTTGAATCTTGTGTAATTGTTGAATGATTTGAATATATATATATGCCTTTTCTATCAATTGCTAGTATTCTTGTTTCCAATCTTAAAGCTTGCATGTAATGGGGACATTCATGACTTGATTTTGGGGTTTCATGAGTTATGGGGACGTAAGATGGAACCCAGAACTGAAACAAGAGTCATTGTGGTTCATTGATTCTAGGGATGGAAGATTATTCACATGTTGTCTTAGATCCTAGTTCTTAATGCGGGTTTTGCTTGTTAATTAGTCAAGGGATTGATAATTAATAGGTAAAAGTTAGGCTCTTTCACCTAAGGTATTAGGGCTAGAGTAATTTTGTGGATTGACTTTAGTCAATTGATGGAGAGGAGATAAAATTGTGTATGCACAAGAGTAAATTGGTGAAACCTAACCTTAACAATGTCATTTCATATCATTTCTAGTCTATTCCATTTCTAAGTGTCTTTCAACCCAAAGTCCAACCATGTAATTATGTGTAAATTTATCTTTCTTGCACATGCTTGTAAATGAATGTTGTTCTATTGAGTCTAGATGAGTTATTAATCGCACAATTCTCTAGTATTACGAGTGTCTTGGGAAAACGATACCTGGTCTTACCATGGTTTATTACTTGAAACGATTCGGTGCATTTGCCAAAATCAATCAACAATAGGCTTCAAGAAAATGTTCGTTTAGATAGTAGTTTGCTTTGATCTTCGGATCTTCTTAGCCTTGTCATAGGTAGCAGCCATTGGTTAAAGTCAACTTGTCACAACAGGCGTGCCTTTTCAGTTCTTTATGAAAAGTAGGTTGTACGAACTTTCTGGCGCAACTTTTCATAGAGAGAACATTTCATGAATGTCTTGTTTGTCTTTAATGTCCACTTCTGATTTGTATAGGATGGAGAAGATTGTTAAACTGATTTTTGTCGCCTAAAATCAGAACAAACTAAGTTTCCCCACT